GCCCGTCAGCGAGCGCCTGGTGGCCAGGCTTTCGCCCATGGGGCCCGGCCAGGCCCAGCCCGAACCGGATACATGGTCTCATCCAACTGTGGACCCACCACCCGCAGGAGGAACATGAAGGGTCTGGTGCAATGTGGATCGGGTGGCAGACCAAGGCGGGAACCTTGGCGGTCCGATCCCCAGACAAGAAAACTGGCTTTTGGGACATGGAACGTCACCTCGCTGGCGGGGAAGGAGCAGGAGCTTGTGGCAGAGGTTAGATATAGTCGGACTCACCTCGACACATTGGCTCTGGAACCCAAGTCCTTGAGAGGGGTTGGACACTCTCCTTTGCTGGAGTTGCTCCGGGTGAGAGGCGGACGGCTGGGGTTGGCTTTTTGTTAGCCCCGAGACTCTCTGCCTGTGTGTTGGGGTTTACCCCGGGGGACGAGAGAGTAGCTTCCCTGCGCCTTTGGGTCGGGGAACGGGTCCTGACTCTTGTTTGTGCTTATGAGCCAAATATCAGTTCAGAGTACCCACCCTTTCTGGAGTCCCTGGGACAAGTGCTAGATAGTGCTCCATCAGGGGACTCCATTGTCCTGCTGGGGGACGTCAATGCTCACGTGGGCAATGACAGCATGACCTGGAGGGGTGTGATTGGGAGGAATGGCCCGCCTGATCTGAACTCAAGTGGTGTTTCGTTATTGGACTTCTGTGCAAGCCGCAGTTTGGCCGTAACGAACACCATGTTCAAACATAAGGATGCCCATTGGTACACTTGGTACCAGGGCAGCCTTGGTTGCAGGTCGATGATAAGACGTTGTAGTCGTATCATCTGACCTGCGGCCGTATGTTTGAACAAAACTCAAATTGATGTGAAAACTTTGAATATTTGACCACAGCTGCTGTAAATATTGAGGAGGATTTGGGGCCAGTGAGAAGAACAAAGGAGCAGTTAAAGGGTCAAAATGTTGAGAAAAGTTACTGATTTCAGTTTAAATGTTATTCCCAGGGTGAAGTCAAAAGTATGTTGTTAGGAATAGCCAGAGGAAGTTAACCATAAGATCTTTAAAGAAGAAATCCAAAGTTTTTCTCAGAGAGCACCATCAAGAGGCGAAAAAACATATTGCACCTTTAAGCCACTCCCCCTATTCTGTGATTACGGCTGGAAGCAACGCCTCTCATTTGTCTATGTGCACCTCTAGCCAAACAAATAGTCAAAATGCATTATTTTATATGTATAATTCTCACGTGATGCTGTTGTTCTTTTTTTAAAGACTTACTCATCAATAGGAAATGTTGCCCACTGCGTCCGTGCATCTGGTACTTCCATAAATGTGTGCATGTGTTCTGTCATTCACGTTTATAAGTAAAATGTCTAACATGATTGGCTGATGCAGAGTGGTGCTCAATTCAAATAGCACGGGGCTCTGCAGGAAATATGGATTTAAAAAAAATCATCCATAATTCCTAAAAATGCTAAATCTCTGGATTGCTGAAACCTTACTGTATTTTTCTTTTTTATGATTGTAACTGGAGATTATACATATGTTGTCACTAAACTAAGGTGGCTACCTAGGTAGTAGCATTCACACCAGAACTTCCTTAAATCCTTCAAAATAAGAGTCTCAAAATGCGCAGGGCCATTATAAACAAAATAACCATATTATGAGATTTCATGTCAATTTTTGTTCCTTCAGAGAGAGAGAGAGAGAGAGAGAGAGAGAGAGAGAGAGAGAGAGAGAGAGAGAGAGAGAGAGAGACCATGTGACGTCACCGCCAGAAGTACACGGCTAAAGTCCTTTCATGTTTACCAAGTAGCTAAAGTCCTTTGCTCCATGTTGACAGGTGAGAGTTCATACGAACAAAGCCCCCCCCCCCCCCCCCCCCAAGAAATTGTGTGTGTGTGTGTGTGTGTGTGTGTGTGTGTGTGTGTGTGTGTGTGTGTCAGACAGAAGGGGAGATAAACAGGGAGAGTTGCTGAGGGGGCTCTTTGACTTTGAGCGCACATAAGCCCTTATTTCATGGTGCCATTGTTTGTTTTAAGGACGTCAGGCTTAATACAGTTCCAGGCGATTTCCCAGCATGTCTGTCCGCCACGAGCACCTCCAAGGCGCAGCGTGTGTGTGCGCGATGTGCGCGTGCGTTGTCACGTGTAAGCGTGCCCTTCGTTCCAGTTGACTTTGACCTGACTCCTGTCACAGAAACTTGGATTATTTGTAAGACACCCTTAAAAACTATTGTTTTTCCCCATAAATGTAAGTCTAAAACACTCAATAACGAACGGACTAATTAAATTACTGCATCCACATCCTTATCAGCCCCACCGCACACTGCTCGTTTAATTACCCATTATTTCCTGACAGGCTTTATTTTTTATTTTTTCAAAACAAAATGTTAAAAACAATATTTTCTGCATCTATTTTAAAAGATAATTAGAAATTGAAATTATGTAAGCATGTCATATTTATGATCTAAATGTTTCCTGTAGTGGCTGATTGTCATTCATTAAGTTTGTTTTGATCTGCTCTCTCATTTCGTTGTTTGGTTAGATCTTACATGATGTTCTGCAGCATTCATGCAAACAGCGTATTTGAATATGAGTGTGTGTTCATTCAGTGGACTCCCATAAAACAGGCCACAGAGGATGACCCCCTCCGCTCTCCCCTCTCCACTCACACACCCTCACATCTTTTATTTCTCTCTTACATACACACCCGCGTGCGCTCAAACACACACACACACACACACACACACACACACACACACACACACACACACACACACACATATGACCACCAAAATCACTACTTGTAGAGGGATGTGGGTCATGTGGATCCACAATCTGCCATCACAATAAACTATTTACAACCATGTTGTTGTATGCACCCAAACCAAACAGAAGTTTCTGTTTGATCCTCCTGCAGCACCCTCGTCCTCATCATGGATAGCTGAATACATTAAGTCCTGGACACGAGGTCCAACAAGGACTTCAGACTCCTACTCACTTATTACACTCAGATCCTCTCCTCCTCTCTGTCCTGTCTCCTAAACCTTTTTACGCAGGGACCCGGAGACCTCTCTGGAACAAAACAGCTTTTAGCGCTGGAGTGCGTGCGCGCGTGAGCGCGCGCGTGTGTGCCGCTCACTCGTTATCATTTCTCCGAAAACTGTCTTTCTGAAAAGAAATGGAGCTGTTGTAGGAGCTCATGAAGTCATTATCTGATTAAGATCGTTTTAGAACTGCTGTTGCTGTTCAAGAGACTCAGATTGTTGCATTTCCTGTCATTTCACTCGTAATATCAATAATAATAACGAGAAGAAGAAAAATTAAAGTAAGAATTGGTCTAGAGTAATTTAATTTTGATTGAGGGAAAAGTGCCCTTTTTTCCTGCGGCTTCCTCGCGCTCATCATCGCTCAGAATGTGATTTACAACAAGTTCACAACACCTCTGGGAAAATCCAGTTTCCACGGCCTTCCCTCGTCTGCGCGAGGACGCTGCTCTAATAAAAGTGTCACATTTAGCCATCAGCGCGCAATGGCACAGCGCATTCTCAGTGCGCAAAGGTGCGCTCAACCCAAACGAGGAGGGGAGGAGTTGGTGTTTGTTTGTGGTGGTGGTGGTGGTGGTGGGGGGGGGGGGGGGGGTGTTCGAAATAAATACACGGGCTATAATCCACCTGGTACAGACCGAGATAAGAGCCGCCATCACCCGTTTCCTCTCCACCTCACCGAGTCTTCCTTTTCCAAACACGCGCTCCTTTAATCTTCCCGGCCTGTTTTTCCAGCCTGTGTGCGCACCGCGACGGCACCCTGGGGAGCCGAGGCCAAATCGAGCCACGGACCAGTTTAGGGGAACGTGCAGGAGGGGTGAAGGGGGGACACCTGCTTTGGAAAAGCCACTCCAGACACTAAAGTTTGCTGACTTCATTGCATTTCGTTTGTCCTATAAAAACACTTGCTTGCGGTATGGAAAAGAGACTCGCCTTTTCCTTTTTGGCACCTGACACAGTGGGGTTATGTGGAAAATGAGATTGCTGATTGAGTGCAGTAGAATTCTTTGTGCAGATATATTTTTAAGTACATTTTGGTTGTGAAAAAAAAAGAAACACAAGAACAAATAAACGGCAGATGAAAGAAAAAAATACATAAATGCCTTAAAAATACACGGAAATGTGCAGGTTTTATTGTTTAAAATAAAAATGTGTTTGATGCTTTGCACTTTTTTATGTGTGTGAACATTAAAGCGTGATCGTTGAGAGCGCATCAAGGCTAAAAACGGATCATTTCCATGCGTAAAAAATGCTTTTTTTAGTTAAGAAAAATCCTGAAATACCCCCACGTTCTGAAACCTGTGGGTAAAATCACCTGGCGTGCGTTTTAAGAGTTTAACTTGCCTAACAGCACAGCGCAAGCCGTGACAAAATTATAAGCATCTAAAATTAATAAAATAGACTAAAAATTCAAACTGTGGAGCGTGAAAGAAAATCTGGTCCAAAACGTCACTGTCTGCGTGTTTAGTAGGTGGAGAAGATGATAATCCATCGTTTGTAATTTAGTTAAAAAAATTGTTTTTATCAGTTTTACTAACCAAGACATTTGATGGCAATGCGTTATTTTACGCACATCAGGGAGGTTTCGGTGGCAAGAGGCTGCGGATCCCTGTTCACCTCTTCTATCCGCCTCTCTGGGATCATCTGAATTCCAAAGCTGCAAGCCCATGTGTTGCATTGCTTGTTCATTAATCAGTTTTTTTCCTTTCTTTCTTTCTTTTTTTTTTTTTTTTTGTGCAACCAATGGGAAAACTGCGTGTAAAATATCTTCACATGCCACTCCGACTCTGGTCTGCTCGCTCCTTTGAGAATCACACTGCGTAAAGTAATGAATTTAGTACAAATTTTTACATCTGCAATAAATCAGGGAGAAATTCAAAAGTTGGTCTCAGTTAAAATGAAATTTAAAAAACTGAAGTTTTACAAGTTTTAACATAAGAAATAAATTCAAAGCTGAAATTAAAAAGGTGTTCTTGTTGAATAATTTGCTTAGAAAGGTGTCCGAAAACTCTCTAGTTTAGATATTTTAACAGGTTCAGGTCATAACATGTATTATTATGTAAAAATATGTGTTTAAAATTCTCCTACTTTAATATTATTTACTTTTATCATTTACATTTCCAACACTTTAAAGCACATTTTCTGGAAGCAGACACTTTGGTGATTTATAAATAATAAAACACTTTTAATGATTGTCATCTAATAATGTTTAAATTAATATAATAACATCAAGTTGAAATGTTTTTGTCGCTGCGTAAATGTCAAAGTGTGTATCGATTCTTACTCGCTGATTTGGGAAGAAATAGGTTAGCAAGTGGGTATTTCCTTTTTTATCCTCCTCTCTCCCTCACTTCGCTTGCGCGATCAAGTCCCGTTCTCTGGTCAAGTTCAATGCGTTGTTCTCTGGCCCGCACGGACGCTTCTTATTGGTAGGTTGCGACAGTTACATCACGCCTGCCCATGACGCGCACGTCTTCCTGTTTCCTTCAGCCGCGTCTTAAAGTGAATCTTAGTGGCGGATGAGCGCTCCAGCATCCAGTCCTCTCCATCCAGTGCGCCTCAGAGACGCACACGCGCAGCCGCTCTCTCTCTCTCTCTCTCTTTCTCTCCCGTACTCTCTCTAGGTCTCTCGCTCTTTCGGTCCGCGGCAGAGGGAATTGAAGGAGAAACCGACGCGCCAGAGCTCATTTCATCTAGTTTTCTCTGTTTTTCGCCGCATTTCTTAAATTTAATTCCAGCTTTTTTTTCCTCCACGAGTTTTTGTTCCAGTATCTCCGCGCGTGCCCCCCTTTCATTGCGCGTTTTCTGACTTCAGGCTTGTCCCCCGCTCTCCGTCTAAAGGGTAAGTAACCTTGTCCTCGGATGCCTCCCTCTCTTGTTCCTGTTCTGCCTCGCCGGTGCAAGGTGGGCGGAAAATTAATAACCAAATCAAACATCGTTAACGGGGCGATTTCTCCCGGTGGTCGGCGGCTGCGGAGAGGATTTAGTCGCTGTGTTCGGTCCCAGCTGAACTTGGTGTGTGGTGAGTGAGCAGCCCGTGTTGTTGTGAGGATGATTTGCGAACGTTAGCCCAGCCTTCCTCATCAAAGCACAGATCAAGCTGATTTGCAACTGCAAAGTTTTAAAAGTCTGGTGGTAATAATAATAATATTCATAATTGAAAATCTTGTAAACTTTAGTTTGTAAACTTTAGATTTATTCTTTTTGGCTTTCTTTATATCATCTATGGGTCCAAAGACAAACTTTTATATCAAATAAACATATTATTTAGCTTCTGTTTTGTTTGTTTCTGTCTGTTTGTCTGGTTGTTTGCTTCAGCCAGTCCGTCCAAAGTCACCATTTACAGTCATGAACCCCAACTGTCACTCGCCTTTAAGTTAAACTCTTTCTTTATTCCGTTAAAAACGTGGATAAAGATTTTGATCTGATGTTATAAGATACAAAAAATTTCTAAAATAGATAAACAAATCAGATTTATATCAAGTTGTATTTGTTTTGTTTGCCCCTTGGTGGTTTTGGATGTTTTTTTTTTTTTATCAGAATGAATCAGAAGAGTGAGGAGGCAGAGTGAGACAGGTGCAACATCAAAATAAAAACAGGTGCTGGTGACTATTTCAGGCTCTTTGTTAAGATCCTGACGCGATCGAGTCAAGTTTGTAAATCTGTGTAGATGCAACGCTTCTGGTCTGAACCCACAAGAGCTCATTAATCAAAGGGTTAATGGAGACTAAACGCTTTTATTACAGCAATTCTGGGATTTTATTTTGTCTTTGTTTAAAAAACGTGTCATTTCCTGAAAAGATTAGTTCAAGAAAATGTGTGTGTGTGTGTGTGTGTGTGTGTGTGTGTGTGTGTGTGTGTGTGTGTGTGTGTGTGTGTGTGTGTGTGTGTGTGTGTGTGTGTGTGTGTGTGTGTGTGTGTGTGTGTGTGTGTGTGTGAGAGAGAGAGGGAGTTAAGGTTCAGTCTTTTCATTGGAAATATTAAAATCAAACAATTCCTCTTAATTAAAGGTAGAAAGTGAGATTTCTCTGACTGATCCCTGAAATGTTGAGTTTATAGAAGGTCACAAATCTATATTTCACTTTTAAAGTGTGTATTTTTCCTTGTAAATGTACTCAAATGGGTTCAAATCTAAAGTAAAAACTGTCCTCTGGTTGCTCTGTCTGAGGCACGGCATCTTTAAACCGGCTGGAATGAGTAAAGAAACAAAGTAAAATCATCTCTGGATAAAATTCAGATATGTACAAACTTTCTTAATTTATTTGAAATGATTCCGATGATTTTTCTGCATTTGAGCATCTGCGCTGACGAAGACGCCGCTGCTTACACAGCACTATTGATGCAGACCTGTACTGACAAAACGTTTTGCTTTCAGAGGGGCATTAGAGGTTTTGTAAGAGCGCTTTAAGTTGCTCTTTGCCAGAGTTGACCCTCGTGACCTATTCATTTGAGCAGAATTAACTGCCCTTGCCAGATGAAAAGACAAACAAGAAACACAGAAGTGAGCTCACACTGGCACCAAAATCAATAGGTCTATTTTATGTTTCTCTTTTGGTGTCACTCTCCCCACTGAGTGAGAAATGATGGCCATATTGATCGGAGTAAACGGGGAATTTAAAAATGCACAATGGTTACGTTTAATTGAAATAATTTCAAATGTTTTATCCAACCTCGCTCACTTCTACAACAGGATTTGAGATGCTGTGTGTCGGCGTGTGTTAAACGTGCATTCCCTCCTCCTGTTCTGCCTTTTATGTTTATAACATGAACCCGATTTGATTCGTTTGATTCTGTCAGCTCCTTCCTCCTGTGAGGGCTCACGCTGCACAATCATGGAAATGAGGACAAGTGCTTAAGTAATTATCATAATTTTATGCAGCTTTGTGTTCCGTGGGAACTGGTTCAGTGTCGCACGGCATGTAACAGGGGACGGGGTAAAATGTAGGACTTTGCCCTGGAATGTCGAGCCAAGGCCTAAATCTGACCCAATCTCGACTGTTATCTCCCCCCCGTGTCGCTGATTCTTAAAGCCTCTCTAAATGAAATCATGGACATCCCCTCCTCCATTTGATACAGTCAGTAAAAAAAATCCTACATATCAGCTGATGCATTTGAGTTTTGGTTGTTTTTACTGTTTTGATTATCTGTTTCTGCATTTGAGACGATAGATGTCATTTTAGTGAGTTGTGCTGCTTTGTCTTTTTTCCCCCCTCCACAGACACACAGAGGCTTTGACCCTACAGGACTGGGTTTGTGGGATATGGCCCAATAGCTGCAACCCGTGATGCCGGACCATGACAGCGACTCCCTTCTGAACAGACAAACCAAGCGAAGACGCGTGGACATTGGTGTGAAAAGGACCGTCGGCAGCGCAGCGTCCGCAGCAGCAACCACTGATAGCATTGCTCGCACCAAAGCAGCCATTTTCTGTGCCATGAACTCTCTGAGCTCCCATTCTCATCACGGATCAGACAACGACTCCATGGAGTGCTCTGTAGTGCAGCCACATGGTGGGCCTGGCGTTGTGTCAGCCAGCGACAGCGAGTCCAAGTCAAATGTACTCCGAAAGCTACTGAAGAGAGCCAACTCATACGAGGACACCATGATGCCCTTCCCTGGCACCACCATTATCTCTCAGCTGCTCAAGAATAACATAGCTAAAAATGAGGGAGGACATGAGAGGGGAGAAAGAGTAGATAGGGGTGACAGAGGGGAAACAGGCTTCCCTGGATCAGGGTTCTCTAACGCAAGCTCAGATGTCCCGCAGGAGGATGCCTGCAGCAACTCCTCCCAGGACAGCACCCCACAAGAGTGCTTGTCACCATTTGGTCGCCCCCCTGGCATGGCAACCTTTGACATTGAGCGTCTCAACAATGAACACCTGCGTGCCAAGCGAGCCCGCGTTGAGAACATCATACGTGGCATGAGCCACTCACCGAGCGTGGTGGTGGCCGCTGCTTCCCGCCATGAGCGTGACCACGACATGGATGGAGAGCGGGACATGGATCTGGACTGCCCTCCTCTTCAGTCTCAGCAGCAGGCCCCCAGCAGCCCGCGGGGAGGTGAGGTGTGCAGCAGCAGAGAGAACAAGCGTAAGCAGAGGCTGCCTCAGCAGCAGCAGCAGAGCTTCACTCAGCTGGTGTGTCAGAGAAAGGAGCAGAAGCAGGAAGAGCGGCGACAACTCAAGCTGCAGCTCGAGGACATGCAGAAGCAGCTACGGCAGCTGCAGGAGAAGTTCTTTCAGATCTACGACTCTACTGATGACTCAGAACACAACGACCTCCACAATGATATAGGAAACATGTCAGAGGACAGCCCGGTGAGGTCTGACAATGGTGGAGACGACCGAGGAGGAGATGACTTGCGCTCTGACAATGAGATGTCTGATCTGGATCCAGGCCATTTCCTGGACAGAGCCAGGGCTCTGCTTCAGGAGCAAGCCCTGCTGGCTGATGGAGAGAAGCCAAGAAGAGATGGGCTTGGCCGAAGCAAAGGGCAGAGTGGTCCAGGCTCCTCCATGCACGCTGAAGGTAAACAGCTCGCCGAAACCCTGAAGCAGGAACTCAACTCAGCGATGACACAGGTGGTGGACACGGTGGTTAAGGTATTCACTAAGCCTCCACGTCCTACTCCTCAGCAGGCCTTTCCTCCACTGTCATTACCCCCTGAACGATTTCCACCTGCTGTCAATGGAGACAACCCAAACTTCCACACCGCTAACCAGAGGCTGCAGTGCTTTGGCGATGTCATCATTCCCAATCCACTGGACTCCTTTGCTAGTATGCCAGGGATTCCAGGTGCCACCAATGACCAAACAGAGGCACTTCCTTTAGTAGTGAGGAAGACACCCAGCGAGCACCACCACCACCACCACCACCAATCTTCAGCTGTGGGTGCCCATGGTAGTAATCACCACCCTGCCCTCCACCCGTCATCACTCTCTGCCTCCATGGGCTTCAGTCCTCCATCCTTTCGGCATCCCTTCCCTCTGCCACTCATGGGCTACCCTTTCCAGCCTCCCCTTGGCGCACCCACAGGTGGTTACCCAGGGAAGGACCGTACTTCCCCAGACTCCATGGACCTGCCCCGGGAGACCACCAGTCTGAGGACCAAGATGGCATCAGGCCACCACCTGGGGCACCACCATCGCTCTTGTTCACCAGCACACCCTGGCAGCACAGCCGAGGGCCTCTCCTTGTCTCTGATCAAATCAGAGTGCAGTGATCTCCAGGACATGTCGGACATCTCACCTTACTCAGGAAGCAATGTATCCTTTACAACAAGTCCAAACAAGGCATGTGTTTTCATGGGTGTAAAAAACAGAGCTAAATGAATATTGATGTTTTAAACTTGCGTTGAACAGTTTAAACCCGTTTATACCAGAAAGACGTGCTCGCAGGTGCTTCTATACCCCTCAGAGACCCGTCTGAAACCGTGCATCTGAACCACAAAGAGCTAAACATCAAATCTTTTTGAATCTGTTTGAAACTAGCCTAAGAAACTGAGAAATTGTTGATGAATCACTTTTCCTCCCACTGCTGTTCCCTTATCCATTGTTGCGTTTATTTTTATACCCGTACCTCTTCCTGCTCAGAGCACCATCCAGTCCTTTCTTCCATCTCCATTCCTTTAAAAGCTTTCTTGTCGCATATCACTCGCTTGTAAAGACATTTACTGATCCAGGTTTTATTTATTTTTTACTAAATCTTGAAAGGATAAGGAGAAAGATGACATCTTGACCATGTTGTATAGCCTGCATTGCAGTTTAACCCCAGGTTGCCCCCGTGGACGAAGAGGGCATGCCCTACGGGAGGCTCATTCTGAATCCCCCATGGATCCAGGACTAATAGCTGAAACAGCTTCTCCGTTTCCCTCCTTAAGCATTCAGCACCCTCCACGCCTTATGAAAGTTTGATTTGTGTCACAGCGGTTGC